GCGTTGTACTGAGTACTGTTGACCCCGGATTAACAAACCCCTGTTTATGAATAAGGGGGTGTTTTTCTCCGACAAGGGGCGTGGCACGTCAGGCGAGTGGTGATCGTAATCCTGGTGAATGAAATACCCCGCACAAGTCAGGGTTATATGTTTGTCTATGTGGTTTATAACCAGGCTTGCTAACCACTTAATGTTGACCCCATATTCATCAGCCCCGGTTTATTCATAGAGTGGTGGGGCCCCCTGCAAAAGTGGTCTGATTCCTTACCCAGAAACACCCCCTATTAAGAAACTTGGGTTGATTTATATGGGGGCAGCATGAAGTGGTTAGTAAGCCTGGTTCTGACCCACATAGAAAAGCTTATAACTATGGCTTCTCAGTGGGTTATTTCACCAGGCTGACGATCGCCACTTACCTGAGGTGCAATGCCCCTTTAAGCCTCTCTCTCTCTCTTTCTCTGTGTTTGCGAGAGGAGACCCTTTCGAAGGGGTCAATCATCTTGTTGCGGGTCATAGAATTCATAGCAACACCCGAAACCGGCATTGGCCATACTGGCCATATGTGTCTTTCTTTGGGGACCCCTCCAATTTGTGGTTTTCATCTTGGTTTCCCCTTAAAACCCAAACACGGGGTACCCCAAAAAGAACACACCCATGCTACAAGCCTCCACCATCTGAGAGCTCAAACATTGGGGTATTTGGCCACCCCCCTGAGCGGGTTTTCATATGTCCCTTTTCTTGGTGGTTCCCAGCAATCTGTTTTTTTTTTTTTTTTAATTCTTGGTGTTTAATGGGGGTTTCCATTGAACCTTCTAAAGAAGCAAACTTTTAGCAGGGGATCTGGGAACAGCCCAGTGGTAGTCCCCGGAAAAAAAGCGGCCGGAAATGGGCCCATGTGGAAGGAAGACTTCCTGCAGCCGGGGTATGTAAAGCCCCATAAATACAGGGAAGCGGATTTTGCTCATCAGCATGATTTTGACGCTTGATTCAATTCAACTTGGTTCTGGCGCATAAGGCTCGTGCCGGCGGCCAAACGGGCGATCTTTTCTCGCGAGGGCACCCTTTTGTTATTTTGCTTTAGACCTAAGGCGAAGCGAAATCCATTTTTTGGTCCAACCTTTACTGTGGACGAAATCCGGCCGTACTTTGAAACCATAGCAAACCATGGTTGGTTCATTTCCAGGGGAAGCACCCCCGTTTTTTTGGTTTGGTGCCTGAGAGGATTTCGTCCAAATCCATCCGCCTGCCCTAACTTCCTGCCCGGCTCAGGAAGCCGCAGCCGCCGAAGGGGCCGCGGCGGCTTTTTGGCAACGACGGGTTTGGGGAGCGCGGTGGGAGCCTTGGGGTGTTTCTTTCAGAAGTTATGGGGTTTCCATGCATTTTCGCTTCTGGTTTTCAGTAATTACATCACCTTTTTGGGCGCACTTGGTGAGTTTCCTTTACGTGGGTGCTCAAATGGGAGAAATGGCCAGTGTTGTAAACCAACTTCAAAGGGCGCCACACCCCTTTTCAGGTCCCTTTCCCTTGAATTCCGTCAGTTTTTTTTTTCTTCTAGGTGCTGAATTGTTCAACTTGGGATGGACATGGGGGGACTCACTAGAGTTCCCACCAATTCAGGGGGACTCGCTGTCACCCGGGTAGATGATGTTAATAGGGTGCAGCCCCCTTGCTGTACCATAAACAAAGTTGGGGATAGAAACCCCGCTTTCATTCTTCTCTGTTGGTGTTGGGTGGACTCCTTCACTCGGTTGCGCTCGCGTGTTTGGATCCCTCACCGAGGAGACTGTGCGTGGGGAAAACCCCCGCGAACCGGCGGGACTTGTTTTTGTCGTTTTCGTTTGGCGCGGCCAGCGTGCAAGCAGGCAGGCAGGGAGGCAGAGCAGGCAAGCAAGCAAGCAAGCAAGCAAGCAGGAACAAAGTTTGACTTGGTCGCACAGGGTCAGCCACGAAACTAATCCCCTGCTGGTGTCCGTTTCGACTCTCAACAAATAAGTAGATGTGAAGTGCCCTGTAATTGAAGAACAAATCTGCCCAATACCCATGGCAAAAAAGCAAGAGAGCCGCGCTTTATGCAAGACAAGCCGTGTACATCATCGGTTCGCACAAGCTTGCACCGCCAGGGTGAGGGCTCTAGGCCCTGTCACGGTTTAGATGTGCAATGCACGTGAGTACATATGCTTAACTATATATATATACATATTTACATTTATAGATATTGTATACATGTATATTTCAGATACACATACCTGCACCTACACATCATTCTTAGGGCCGAGCTTTTTCTTTGGCCACTTTGTTTTTCATCCGAGGGGAGGAGAGGGTGGAGGCCTATCCAGGCCATGGCCGCGCTTTGGGGTGGGTTCCAGCCATCCGGTTCCAGCCAGGTCTGCCAGCGATTGGTGCCTGACCTCCCAGCCCCCTTTTTTGGTTGGGAGGGATTTCGTCTACTAAAATAGACTGCAGAGAAAAATCGGGTACCCTCATTCTAACCTCTCGAATCTGGAGGACCTGGTTTTCTTTTTAAGTTTTTAGTTGGTTTAGTGGTTGGGAACCGCAACATGAACACAACGGACAAAGACTTCGGATTGTACATTTTGCATTTTTGTCGAGTACTGTCTCAGAATTGTACCATAGTCGTCCTGTAGTCTTCTGATAGTCTTTGCACTCTTCCCCAAAAACCATGCAACAGAGGAGCCCCTATTCTTGGACGCCCTCGCTTGGGGCGCAGGGCACTTACACTGCTTCATGCAAAAAAGCCGGCGTTTTCCTGCTTGTTGCGTGCCGCCAATGAACCTGTATGCACAGTTACGGTGGATGCCCTGCATGTGAAGCAAGTAAGGGAACAAGTTCAACACCCTGCATTCCACCGCAGTTCAAGCAGGGTTTTGTGCTTGGAGACGGTTGGTTCACTGGTTCACTTCGTTTATACAACGGTACCCCATGTATAGATTGGATGTCCATTTCCCAGTTGAAGGGGAACCTTCGACTGCGCGTCTCCTCGTCTCCTTGATCCGGGGCTCCCTTGCTGCCGACTGGGAGTCCACGAGGGGTCAAAGAGCTGTGCAGCCCAAAAAACCTTGCTGGTGCTCAGGGAATGAGAAGTGGAATGACCCCTTGGATGTTTATTGGATTATAGAAATGTTGGCGGAACCATGTGGATTCCACATATGCATTGGGATCCGTTTGAGGGTCCCTTTTGTTTTGTGGCTGTAACTTGTGGGTGCTCAGGGAATGAGAAATGGAATGGCCGAAAAGAAAGACCATGAAAAACCATCTCTGGTGGTTTCCTTTAAGGGGCCCCTGTTCCCACATTCCCTACTGAGCACCATCAAGTAAGGCTTGGTTTCCGTTTTCTTCCCTTTTCTCACACCAAAATTGGGATCTTCCTCTTACGTCGAACCCGTAGTCCTGTGGCCGTTCGCGACAGTTGGGATGAGACGAGCTCCACAGTTGGGTTTGTTTTAGGGGTTTGGACGCTGATGGATTTCGGCGTTCTTTTTTTCCTAGGAAAGCCTTCCTAAAAAGAGTCTCAAAAAGCACCAGCCACCCATTTGCCCACCACTGGGGGACATACTGTGGATGGACGAATTTCTGCACTACCTAGGACACCCTCAAACAATGATACCCTTGGACATAACAACAAATTATTGTTTTCCATGGTTTTAGAGTGGTGCGAGACACGCAGATTTCGCAACGCAGATTTCGCAACCATCCACATCATGACGTCCATGGCATCTCTCCAGGCGAGGGAAACTGAATGGCGAGTCCTGAGAGTCGCGAGGCAGGCAGTCACTTTTGCATGTGTCAGAATCGAGGTGACCCCCCAAAGTCACAGGTTTCTGTTTGGGTTTCCCCAGTCTAGAGCATCCCGACGCAAACAGGTGATACCCAAGAATAAATATATTTTGGTGCTACACTGAAGAAGCATCCAAAATCACCCAAAAGTGGACCTGGTGGGTCCAATGAAAGCCAACAAGTGCTCGACGGCAACTCTCCGGACTCCGAGTTTGGCTCGGGGAGAAAAAGGTGCCAGCGGCGAGTTTTAACGCCGCCAGAGTCGGGCGCTTTCATGCGCGAGGATTGGGATGCCTCACTTGTGGCCTGGGTTGTAGGTTCACTTCCTGGCTTACCCAAAGAAAGTGCAAAAATGATCAGAGCCTCTTAGTCGAACGCTTAGGGTTTGGCAGCTTCAGGGATGCAAGACCTGGGGATTGGGGTGTGTCTGTTCTTCCAAGGGTTTTCCTATTACACCCTTCTGGGGAATTACCCTATTCCAGCCTATTTTCAGAGAACACCCGGTTATTTTTTGATTCATTTGGGATTCTATGGGTAACTAGGGAAGAGGGCAACCCTTAGATTTTTGAGGGAGCCAGCTCCATGCTTGGCGGTTGTGAAGCCTTGAGGAAACTGGGAGTCTTCGATTTTGAGACACGCCATTGGAGTAGATGGGCCTTGACAAGTAAAGCTTGAGCAGAGCAACCGGGGTTTAGTTGTGGACTGTAATCAGACCTATATAAAGCTTGATTTGTTTGTTCACTATCAGTGGGCTCCTTAAAAGATACACTTTGCCCATTTGAAACGTGGCTTTTTTTCCACCAACGTAAAGGGAACCACCATTTACAAGTTGCAATTCTGAGGTTTATAGTAAGGCCTGTACAAAACCGTTGTAGCCGTGTTAGAACCAACAGTCAGCTCGGCTTTTGGGACGCTTCACATGTCAGCCCGGCATGTCAGCCACAGTGACAAGTTGCCGTTTCTCAAATCCGGACCCCGGATTTGGGGCATGTCTTCCTGGGTCATGAGAACATGTGAACTAAGATGGAACGCAACACGGGGCTCCAACTCCCATGAGATTCCTCGGAGGATGTTGTTTGGGTTTCATGGTTTCATGTGAGTCGAATGGGGGGAGCTAGAAAAAGGTTCCCCTGAACGATGAGCATTGGGGGAGTTTTGGCAAGGGTTGGAGTCAAATGACCGTGGCCCAGCAAAAAGCGACCCAGGCAGCATCCGTGCTGGTGGCCGAGATCATTTGGAAGCACCTGGGACCAAACTGGGTGTGTCTTCTGTTTGAGGGATCCCATTTTTTGCTCGTTTTTCAAGGAACACCAAAAGGACCACCCCCCCCCCCCCATTTTGTGGCGTCCAACCTTAAAAGAGAGACAGCCACAACATCTCAGCATCTCGGCGTTTTCCCTTGGATCTCGGAGATTTGAAATTTTCCCGATCGATTCACTGGCTGCTGGAGCTGTCGGAGGTGAAAGGGGATGGTTCATTTTGATCGAATCTCCAGACGTCTATGGATGGTCAATGTGGGTCTGTCTTCTTTTGAGGGTACCCGGTTTTGGGGCTGGTGAAAAGGGAACAAAACAAAAACCGTCAATTTTGGGGCCCATTATTTCGTGACACGTGGGGACATGGGGTCTCTAAAATTTCGACAAGCAGGGGGCGGAGCCTCAACTTCTCGCCATTGACACAGACCGGTTCATGTTATTGGGGGAAACTTTGGGATAGTCATCTTGGTAGTAATGATCCTAAACCATTATAATGGCTCCTATCAAGAGAATCATGACCAAATCGCCCACAGAAGAAGTTTTGACCATGGCTCATATCAGCGACTGACATTCCAACACACACCTAGATGCCGAGATCACGCCTAATTGTCCTATGTCCTGTCGAGGAAACATGATTTCTGCTTGTTGCTCGTCGTCTGTTCCTTCAACATATGGGTGTGGCTCAAAATTAAACAGGAGGGGTTACGCAGGTTTTGGTCCATGTTTCCACTTACCAGGGTTCCATTTTGGTACCGGTTTTTTGAGCCACAGCCATATGTGGGCAATCTCACAGCATGATCATCCCCATACCGGCTGGGTCCCTGAAAGTGAAGATTTCGAGAGCTTCTCCAAAGTAAATGTGACCCTTGCAGCTATCACAAGGTATAGCTGCCAACCACGAAGCGAAGGCTTTGGAGGTGGCTGCTTTGCCCCAGTTCCTTGATCCCGTCGGCTTCGATTTTTTTGAAGGGATGAGAAGCTTCCGATGCCATTCAGCGATCTCCCGAATCGAATCGAATCATCGCAGCCCAAACGGCTTCCCAAAACCCTTCCTTGAAAAGGAAATGCGGGAATGCACCTAGGGGTTCCCTAGGAAACCACCAGTTGGCTTCGGTTTTTTCGGTTAGACTCCATTTCTTCCCTGAATTCCCTCCTTCCCTGAACACGAGCAAGCTTCGGATCGCTCGCAATGCGCCCGGCGTTTCCGAGAGCTTTGCGGCATGGGCCCAAGGGCTTCCGCTTCCGTTTCCGCTTCCGATCCGAGGGTTCGGAACCCAAAACCCTGGAAAACTCGCCCGAGTTTCGGTGCGCCTTCTTGGGGCGCCCATACTGTGGATGGACGAACTCCTCTTAGGCACCACCTAAAAAACCTCTGGGGTGATTCGCCAACGTAAATACCAACAAACAACGGTTTGCTATGGTTTCAAAGTGTTGCGAAATGGATTTCGTCCACCCACAGTATGTCTGGCTATGTGGGGAACCGGCTTGCCTATGCGAAGCCGGCCGGTTTGTGTGATGCACACCTTTTGCATCAAGTATCTCGTAGTTGGCGGTTTTGATTTTGGGTGTGAACCCCTTCTGGTAGAGGATGCCACCACACCACCAAACTACCAAAAACCACCAAAAACCACCAAAAACCACCCAAAAACACCCAAAAACACCCAAAAACACCCAAAAACACCAAAAACACCAAAAACACCAAAAACACCAAAAACACCAAAAACACCAAAAACACCAAAAACACCAAAAACACCAAAAACACCAAAAACACCAAAAACACCAAACACACCAAACACACCAAACACACCAAACACACCAAACACACCAAACACACCAAACACACCAAACACACCAAACACACCAAACACACCAAACACACCAAACACACCAAACACACCAAACACACCAAACACACCACACACACCAAACACACCAAACACACCAAACACACCAAACACACCAAACACACCAAACACACCAAACACACCAAACACACCAAACACACCAAACACACCAAACACACCAAACACACCAAACACACCAAACACACCAAACACACCAAACTCACCAAACGCACCAAACACACCAAACACACCAAACACACCAAACACACCAAACACACCAAACACACCAAACACACCAAACACACCAAACACACCAAACACCCCAAACACACCAAACACACCAAACACACCAAACACACCAAACACACCAAACACACCAAACACACCAAACACACCAAACACACCAAACACACCAAACACACCAAACACACCAAACACACCAAACACACCAAACACACCAAACACACCAAACACACCAAACACACCAAAAACACCAAACACACCAAACACACCAAACACACCAAACA